TACGCATCTCCCCATCCACCCCTCCTACTAGACTAGTACTACTTCAGTTACTGCTCCTGCTGCGACAATAACTGGTACTACTGCTGCTGCTGCTGCTGCTGCTGCTGCTGCTGGTGCTGCTGCTGCTGCTGGCTGCTGCTGCTGCTGCTGGTGCTGGTGCTGGTGCTGGTGCTGGTGCATGGTGGTGCTGGTGGTGGCGGCGGCGGCGGCGGTGGTGGTGGTGGTGGCGGTGGCGGTGGTGGCGGTGGTTTTGGTGGTGGGGTGGCGGAGGCGGTGTATGATGTTGGTTATGAGCATTACGATGGTTCGGATGATGTGACGGCTATAACGACGATATTGGTGAGGGCAATGGGAAACATGACACAGTCTGACGGATAAAATCAATCCAACAATGAAAACCAGCTCAAAGTGGCAATGCTGCTCAGCCAAAAGATGCACCGGCCTTGCACATCTCACACTCGAGTCGAGGACCTGCGCGGCACAATGGAAGACAGTCTTTAGACTTGAATGAAAAGCTGAAGGGGTCTGGGGCTAAGCTGGGCTATAAAAGGGAGAGGGCTCAGGACGTTTAGGGGTAAAGGCGAACGGTTCTAGGCTGGACCTTTCTTCTTCTTTTGCTTCTTGTCCTGGCAGCAACCGGGGACACAGGAGCTCAAGGCAACCCATGCCGTCGCTTTGGGGACTTCCACATGCCTCCTCCTTTGGCTTCTCGTCTTCGAAAGGGTCATCATCTTCCTTCATCTTCTCCAAGGGGTGCTTGTGTCGCGGGCAGTGGCCATGGATGGCCTCGGCACTGGACCACTGGGAAACAGCTGGAAAATACTTTCTGGGCTGGATGAGCATGAAGAACAGACACTCATTCGGCAGAGAAACCGTGACGATCCCGGTCTTCTTCTTGTGTTCGCCCTGCCACAGTCGAAACAAAACAAATCTGATGCCTGCAGTACAGGACAAACCTTTGCTCCAGCACCCGTGGGCCTCTTTGACGACAACCATGGCCCACTTCCATTCGCCAAGCTCGCCTGAAGAGATTAGACATTGATGTGCACACTCGTGTCAGAGCAGGTTGAAACTTTGGGACCGTTGAACTGCGTCGGACCGCGCTTGCAGGCTGCTTACAGGTATGCGGTATGCTTCTTCACTTTCAAGAGCCTTCTAGGCTCTGTCAGAGATCACCCCGGGTTGAGCTGACCGTACCCCCTGCAACAGATGCAGAAAGCCTTCGTCTTCTGCTTCCCAACCTCCCCACCAGTCCTCGTCCTGCACAACAAGCACAAGATGTGTTCCGTCGCAACAACATGGCCTCGGTCAACACGTTGTCCTCACTCTCAGCGTCCCCAAAGTGAACGCCTGGACTCAGCACAGTCATGGCACTCCACGGCCCAGGGCCCAACTCCAGACTATATTATAAAAAACATGATAACAAGTAATATACTATGATATGCTAGTATACTATTGTATATGATAACATCAGCCTAATCTGCGAAACTGCGCTTAAATATACTAAAACATACTGCGGTGAAGTAGAATATGCGTTAATATACTAGAACCTACGATAGCCTACTATAATCTACTGTAACCTGCTGTCATATAGTATCACATAGTACAGTATAGTGGTGTACAATCTAACATACTACAACTTACTTTTTTTATCTACTATCACGTAATATACGATCACGTACCATATGATACACTGTGCTATTACTATATGACTTTATGACACTTCCGGGGGGGACCTCCGAAGCCACCCAGGCCACCCAGGCCGGCGCCGCTGCCCCGGTGGAAGGCCGGAGCACCGAACCCGGCGGGCCCCGCGCCCAGGTCGCTGACGCCCCAGCCCTCAGCACAGGAAAGTCTGGAACTATGGTTTAGGGTTTAGGGTTTAAGGAACCTATAATGTACCCTGATGTAGTAAGATATACTATGATATACCATGATATACCATGAAGTCTGAAAAATAACTTTACTTTAGTAAAGTGTACAGGCATGTACTACAACATTGTACCGTAACAATATACTCAAATGATCTACTAAAATAGTATACTATTTTCATGCACTACCATAAACTGCAATTTACTTTTATACCCGACTCGAGCCTGCAGCTCTGGGATTGGGTCTTGGCCTTCAGTGCCTACGATGGCCGGCAAATCTTACGGGCCCAGGTCTGAGAAGCTCGCCAAATCACCTCCACGGCCACCTCAAAAACAAAATCGTGATCTGAAAATTGAAAACCAAAACTTGCACGTATGCACACTCTGAAGCTCATTGAAGCCCCTTGCCTGGTCCTGCCCTCATGTCCCCGAAGCCAACCAAGTCATCCAAGCCGGTATCTCCACCACCGGTGGACCAGCGGTCCTCCGCATGAACACAAAACTGCTGCATACACGCGCACCAAACTGCTGGGTCCTCTCCATCAATGTCTCCCCGGCCTCCTCGACCTGAACATCGAAGACTCGCACCGCACGGACAATTGCAGTTGTTACCACGTCCCCATGAAATGCAGCTTGATGACCCCACATCGCCATGGCGAACCAGCACTAGGAAAGCACTTCCAGCAATACGACCTGTCTGGTTGCTGGCATGCTTGTCAGGAGTGTGTTGCAAGCCACGCAACCCATTAAGCAATTTATGCTTGGAACATGGATTTCTTTCTCCCTTACAGCTCTGAGCAATATGCTACGAAACGGAATGCATATGACGAAAGCATGCTCAAGCTGCCGTCGGGGTCACGAGAAATATCTGCTCAAAACGATGGCAATTGCTTTGTCATGTACAGCTACACACAATCGTGTTGAAATGTTAAATGTCTCGTCTGACGCTCCAACGCTTCTTTCTGTACTGCGCAATCTTTTATCGGCGGGCAACTGCAGAATCTCCGAACGCATTCCATCTTGCAACTCGTGATTGTCGCTCCGCTGCTGTTTTGAAATTGGATGCATCTTCGCATCGTCTGTACTGGACCTCCCGTGCCCATGGAGGTCCATAAGCCCACTGGCACTGCTGCCGGGGTCACTAGTTGAGAAGTCCTCTACTGCACACGGCCTTGGCTTAGCCGCGGCTCGGCGCAGGAAGCAGATTCTTGATTTTACGCCAAGCGTAGAAACTGGAGAATTGCCAAAGCAGTCGGGGGCAGGGCGAGGGGGGGGACTTTTCGCTGCTGTGCAACACACTAAAAAGTAGAAATGCTATTTGTCGTCCGCATCTTATCTCCTGTCGGGATGTTGGAATAAAAATAAAACGTAGAAAAAACGTGAACACAGCGCATACAAAACGTAACGGCACACACAACGCACAAACAAACGTAAAAAACATGTTGAAAAAAAGCAGAGAAAGGGCAACGTCCCACAAACAAAACTTAGAGAAAAATGGTGACAAACTCAAAAAAAAGTAACGGCACACAAAGAACGCACATGGAAACTCACAGAAAGGGTAACAGCTCACAACAAACGCAGGAACGACAAACAGAAATTACAACATTGGGTAACAGATAGCCGGACTGTGCCTCCAAAGGCACCCAGAGACTCACCAATCGATCCGAGTAAGAACTAACAACCCAGACTGCTCCTCAAGGTCCCAAACCCGGCTGATGCTCATGATGATCGCTTTCATTTCTTCGGCTGATGCTCATGATGTTCGTTTTGGTGGGGGCTGGTTGCTTACGCTCTTCGATTTGGGTGGATAGGGTTCCAACCTCTGAGAATGCTTGCGGGATGTTCAGACATGGGAGAATTTGGACGGCTCCGCCCCATCTACAGCGCCTGCAGCAAAAAGAGACACCATCCTCTATTCCTGGACTGTCGTTTTTTCTTGATCTTCTCTTGGGTTTTGTCTTGACACCAAACATAAATTGCAGAATGATTTACTTGTCACATTGGTGATGAAGAGGACAGCTAGAAAACAATGTGGTACATTATTCAGAAACGAAAAGCAAAAACAGAAAAAGAAAGAAAAGCTGCGAGATGTTTTGCAATGTAGCTTTTGGGTTGTTGCTTGTTGCCATGTTGCTTTGCTTGTTGCTTGTTTGTTGCATACCACATGTTGCTTGTGGTTTCGACCTGTTGGAGCTTTCTTTCTTCGACGACATCTGCCACACGAAAGTCTTCAAACACACAATTGCCCATGGAAAACAACTTGACAATCAGCTCTTGCAAGTTGAGAAAAGAAAGAAAAGAGTCAAACCAAACTCAGCCATGCAGAAGAAACAAACCAAGCCAAAATTTTTGTGCCTCTTACTCCAAATAATTGCATCTACACTTCTTCCCGTAGCAAGAGTTGGAAGCAATTTCTGTGGAGGCCCTTTGTCCGCG